AAATATTCATTCATTTTCCTTCTGCTTACTCTCTGATTTATCAGAGTTCGCCACAGCAGACGGAACCGCCAACTATTCAAGCATATGTTTTAAACAACAGATGCCCTTCCAGCCAATACTGGGAATCACTCATACGCTACGGCCAATTTAGTTAATCCAATTCACCCATAGCCCATGTCTTTGGACTGTAGGGAAAGCCTAAGCACCCGGAGGAAACACTGTGAAAACATGCAAACTCCACAACTGCCAACTAGCCCAGCCAGGATTCAAACCAGCGACCTTCTTGCTGTCAGGTGATGCCACCTCATTTATATAAATGTAACAAATGTAAATATTATATCAATTAATTCATTAGTGATTTCTTTCTCTTTTATTGTACTGATAAATGTTGTGTTTGTGTGTTAAATGTGTGACCCTGGACCACAAAACCAGTCATAAGGCATTTTACATCATCTGAAACTAAATAAAAACACCTTCCATTGACGAAGGGTTTGCTAGGATAGGAAAATCTAGAATATGAGGGTTTAAAATAATACAATTTTGAGAAAACCAACTTTAAAATGGCCAAAATTAAGTTCTTAGCAATACATATTGCTTATTAAAATAACATTTTGTTATATTTACAGTAGGTAATTTACAAAATATCTTTATGAAACATGATCTTTACTTAATATCTTAATGATTTTTGTCATAAAACCAATTTAAATCATTTTAACCATACAATGAATTTTTGGATATTGCCAAAAATATACATATGCCACATAATCTTCTATAACGCCCTCCAGTAAACTTTCAGTAGGAAATATAATTACACAGTATTAGCGTCTTTATATACACTCTGTATAAACTGTTTATTGCTTTCATTGTATCTACTTAAGGGAAATAATACACTGTATTAAATTCAGATTTAGTTATTTTTTTTATTTAAATCATTTTTTTCTTCAATTTTGTGTTTATTTTTTTATTTAAAATTAAAATGTCAAATCTTAATCAAAGATTTATAGTCATAAGAATGCCAAGCTCTGAAACTCTTAATAAAGTGTTAATTATAGTAAATAGCCACAGTCACATACTTGTCACAGTCCAGTGAATTTAATTCAATGATTGCTTGAAAAAAAAAAGATTAATTTATATGTGATTTATCAACTATTTGATAAACCCTATAAAACTTTAAACTGATTCAAATCTAAACCACAAAACTCTTATTTTAGAGGCCTGTTGTTTTTCTAAATAAACACTATCACTAAAGAATTTGCGTGTTAAATGTGTAACCCTGGACCACAAAACCAGTCATAAGGCATTTTTGCATAATCTGAAACTGAATAAATTCACCTTCCATTGACGTATGGTTTGCTAGGATAGGAAAATATTTGGAAAATATAGGAAAATCTAAAATCTGAGGGTTTAAAATAATACAATTTTGAGAAAATCAACTTTAAAATGAGCAAAACTAAGTTCTTAGGCATACATATTTCTTATTAAAATTACATTTTGTTATACTTACTGTAGGGAATGTACAAAATATCTTAATAGAACATGATACTTACTTAATATCTTAATGATTTTTGTCATAAAACCAAAACAAATCATTTTAACAATACAATGTATTTTTGGGTATTGCCAAAAATGTACACATGCAACATCAGACTATATTTTTGGTCCATGGTCACACATATCCTTACTGAAAATAGTATTTAATTGATATATTTAGCAATAAGCTTGTGCATTTATAAAATCACTACATTTTAAAGATCACAGTAATATATCACTCAATATATGGCTACTTTATACATGTAATGATCAGATTGCTTTACACCCCAGTAATAGATACCACAGCACTGTATTTAATTGGTCAGGATGTATCAGATGAGCTCGAGGGTGTGCCTGATTCACAAGCAAGAGGGTGGTCAGAATAAATGCTTACAACTCTTATGCAAGATCACTGTTTATACATTTTGAAATGAAACCATCAAATATCCAGCCACACAATTTAGCGGATACACACATGCAGAGCCATAACTAGGAAAGGCTTTTAGCATTTGCAGTTCAAAGCAGCTGTTTATGAACTAATTACAGGCATAAACTCAAGCAATTTGTTTCAATCAATAGCAACTTACAAGAGTTTAAGTACTGAAAATAGGTTAAGAGGAAAAAAACAGACAAAATCTAAGCTTTGTTTTAATAATATAATCATAATTACGATAATTACAAGAGCTGCTACTGTATGATATGGTTGCATATTTAGGAACATGCATTAATAAATATGCTTTGAAGGGAAATTTAATTGACTTTAAAATGTCAACCAGTTTGATAAAGCCTTATAATAGCCTGAATCCAATGCTGTGTGTGTGTGTGTGTTCTGATTTGCCTGTCATTTGTGACCTGAGAGAGAGGGAGGTGAGGCATTATGGGGATTGGAGTTCAGAAGATGAGAGGGATGGGGCGTGTAGTTTGTGACTTCCCTTCTTTAATTCAAGGGGATAATTAACTAAGTCCTCAAAATCTCTGCCAGTAATTATATCTCCTTACTGATGAGCAAGAACAAGGATCAGTGAGGGAAAACAAACAACAAACATCTCATGGAGACAGGCGAAGGTGGGGGTGACAGACGCTGGTTTGTCTTCTATAACGGCCTCCAGTAAACGTTCAGTAGGAAATATAATTACACAGTATTAGCGTTTTTGTATACTCTATCTATATACTGTTTAAGTCTTCCATTGCGTCTACTTAGGGGAAATAATACACTAATAAATTCAGATTTTTTTTTTTTACTTTTGTAAATTTTGTTTATTTTGCATAAAATTATTTTGTTTTTTAAAATTAACATCTCAAATCTGAATCAAATGAATTTATTTTATGTTATGTATTAATTTTGTTTAATTTGTAAGTGATTTGTCAACTATTTGATGAACTCTTTAGAACTCTTTGCTTTAACCTAAGTTCAGCAGACAGTATCATTATATGTTTCTTTTTAAATGTGTTCACTTTAATTTCCCTTCTTATTTAACGCAGTTTTGTTCCATTTACCTCATCATATTCGATTTGTCTTATGCAACAGAATAATTTTTTTTATTTAGGTTTTTTTATTTAGGTCTTTTCGATACAAAGCTCCTTCCGACTGGAACAATCTCCCTTCCTTTTTTAGATCAATAGGGTATATGCCAAGCTAGTGCAGTTCCCATGCTGATACACTTCCGGTGACCTGTTATTGTGAACTTTTTACCATTTTATACGGTTCCTTATACAGCATCGATGTTGTAATGTCATTAAAATACATTCAGTTAAATAAACTTTAGCATTTATTTAGTTGCTCAAGCGTAAAACGAGACAAAAAGCTGTTTACTCGCACGCGCCCGTCAGAATCGGCAGGCTAACGCAGAAGCTCCATTGAATATACTGGGGTAAAATAAATGCTCATATAATAAAGACATGGCGGGGGAAATGTAATTTAATGCAGTGCTTCTTGTACAATCAGAGACCCACTTTAAATCGGATATCACTCAGCTAGTGGAGATCGCTAATTTTTAAAGAAAACAGACCTTGAACGAACCGGATTTTGCATTGGCATTCAATTCGCCGGAAGCGCTTAACCCAGGTTACTGGCAAATTAAAAGTACTATTAGCATGCTTCGGCATATACCCCATTAAATCACTTCATGTTTTCAGAGCTAATTTTTTTTCTCTTCTGGAAACAACTTGCGAATGTTATTAATATTGTCTCCAAATTAAATGTTTATTATTTATTTGTATATCAAATTGTTTGTACTTTTGATTATATGTGTTGGCTTATTTAGGCTTTAGATTGTGGGAAGTGTTTGAGGTGGAGTGTGCTGCTTGTTTGATTGTTTGATTGTAATGTCAAGTGTATGTATGTTATGATGTGTTGTACTCTGTTTGATTTATGAACTTTTTAGGGACCCCCTCGAAAATGAGATGATTCATCTCAAGGGGCTATCCCATTCAATAAATTCAAATTCAACTTTAAACAGATTCAAATCTAAATCATCTAAATCAAACACTTATTTTGGAGGCCTGTTGTTTTTCTAAATAAATGTCATCAATAAAGAAAGCTGCATGTTAAGATATCGACTGACTGGCCAGCAAAGCAGCTGTTTTAGTTTCGGACGCAGCCCAAGATTGACTTTGGTCTGAAACGTAGTCATCACGGTCAGTTTTTGTTAGAGCTGATGACACATATGTTCGTCAAAACATCATAATGTGTGCTGAATTTGACACCGACTCCCTGTTTTGTGCTTATTAGCATTAGCACATGTTTCGTCCCTGAGTCTCTGCGGCTTTAACGATGGCAGACATTAATGTCTGAGCAGGTCTGGTATTAGCCGGCACCGTGTTCTCGGGTTTCATTATCGCAGGGGCTCGTTGGCCTCTGCCCTGCCCCTGCTGAGAGGGTTAAATGTGGGAGGGAAAATCGGCCCGCAGCCTCGGTGGGACTGAGATGGGGAACAGCTGCCTGGGGGGACCGGGGCCCCTTCCTCACCTCCCTTTCTCTCTCTCTCTATGTCATTCTCTCTCTCTCCCTCTCTCTCCCCCGGCCTTGACATTCCTGAGTGTAAGAGTAATTCCTGATGATTATCTCATTGTCCTACTCAATTTGGGATCAGACACACTGCTTCCAGGTCAAACATGGTGTGACCGTGTAACCTCCAGTATCAGCTGTACCGAGGGAAAGATTAGTCCGAGATCCACAATGCTGGTCACACATACATATGCACACATGAGTAACTTGGGCGACAAGAAGCACTAGTGTTTTTGTGCACAGGAGAGGACTGAGTGCAGGAGTCTAAAATGTGTTGTCAAGGTTTGAGATTAACTGGAGTTGGCAGCTGCCCCCAACTCCATTGCCCTGCCTTAGATGGAGGAGATATAGGGTTACAGAGGCATGCATCTCACACTGGTCGGGGTTCAGTACTTAAGGATGGAGCCAAACACTTGAATGGATGGAAGCTGCGCACAGTTCAACTGATCCAATTGCAACTCACCTGTGTACACAAATCGGCCCGGTGCACCTTTGCAGAATTGCTTAGACTTGTAGGACAGGGTGACTTCTACAACGCCCGGGATGTGTCTCGGAGGGGTCTGCACTCGGATGGCATGGGGTGTAATGAGCTATAGGAGAGAATGGATAAACTTGGTTAGGACCTTGCAAACTGCACCAAATGTTGCATGCATTTCAACACCTGGCAAAGAAATTGCAGCCTTTCAGGTAGAAACTAACGCCCAAGTGGGGGATTTCCATGTGTCTTGTTCATGGATAATTTGAACTGACTTAAGTCTCAGAATTGGGACCTTACCAACTTATAAAGACTGTGGACAAGCTTGCTTAGAGTTGTTGCATATCTGCAATTGCCCAACTGGTAAAATAACCTGTCAAACAGAGGCCATTCCTAACCGAACCTGCAAACCTTCTTTGTTTCCCCCTCTCCGCTTCAGAGTTAACGTCAGCAAATAGACCTTGGATTTCACTGAGCCCAGGAAAGGCCAAGGGGCAGGAGTCCTGCGAAAATCATCTCCATATGTCTTTCCTTCACTGTTTTCCTTGCTTTCCCTCGCTCGGCTTTTCCCCCTCTGAGATATTTCACCCCTAATTGTTCAATTGTTTTGCAAGACCTCACGGTTCGGCAAGGAACGCAGCGGAGGCCTCTGTGGACTTATTGTGGGGCTGTTTAGCATGCAGTTTGTTTATCTAACTCCTTATCTGCTCGTGTGATTAAACTAGGAAAAGAAAAATAATAAAATAAAATCGAATAAACAAACGCTGATTGGCTCGTTGAGGCTCCAACCGACAAATATATGCCAGACAGCTTTATCAACTCATAAAGGAACACACTAACCTGAAGTCTTTATTAGCTCCGAACTAATTACGACGCAGCTTCGGCATCCCTTTAGTTCACTCTTATTTATATGTTTATGTGGCGTGAAATGAACAAAAAGTAAATGTAAAGAGACAATAAATGGACGGCGGCGTAATTGCATTAAATCCGTAGAAGCAGGGCTTCATAAACTGTGTATAATCACAGTTTTCACGTAATCACTTTTTATAGAATCTAATGAAGTTCATTAGAAGGCTGTTACGGAAACAAACGGCCAGGCCAATATCTTGCGCATAGCAAAATGAATTATCTCGTGTTTTACGCCAAAGTCTTACCTCACTCCATACTAGCATGGTGCCAAACACGACCTGCAGTCCATCGAAGAAGTTGTCGCCAATGATGATGACCGTGGCTCCTCCTGTGGTCCAGCCTTCACTCGGGCTGATCGCCTTTATGCACGGGGTAGCTGCTTATAACAGGACAAAAAACACAACTATCAGGATCCCGTTTTAGTATAGACACGCGCTAGCCACATGCAGATCACTCTCACTCTGAGGATAATAGAACCCTGAAGTAAACAAAGCGTGAATGATTTGGGCCACGTAAAGACAAAAGACCTGCGGTGTACACCAGAAATCAGCTATTAAAGCGTTCGCTAACACAATGAGAGGGAAAAGAAAACATTGACTGATGCAGCTAGTGGCCTTCCAGCAGATAAACCGTCGTACGTTACTGATGATTAAGCATCGTGCACGCTAGGACCGTCGATTTATCTGTCTGCCTTTCACAGATCTGAGATCAGTCAATCAAAAGGTCGTGGTGCAAAGCAGGGATGGCACAAGCACAAAATCGCAAGATTTTTCAGGCATCCACTAATTAGGTCAAGCCTTTTTATTCGCAAACTTTGCCTTTGGTTGAAAAACTTCCAACATTTTCCTGTCTCCAACCCCTTAACCTCCTGTAGTTTCTGTCATCTTTTCATAATGAGCACTTTTGGCTTTTTAGGGTCTTAAAAATCTTATTTTAGATGAGATTTGTACGATTAAGGTTTGGGTTTGAATGGCTATCATGCTAATGGTGACGCACACGTGTTCTTGAATGAGAGAATGAGGTCATGTTTCTGACCCCGCCTTTGTCGTGAAGTTAGCCAATGGCTCATTAGCATACATTATCGTACCCCCCTCTACTTCTATAGAGTAGAGAGGTGCTATCACAGTTGTAAGCGGTCGGAGGCCCAGGGCGACTCAACCCCCCGTTAACATCTTAGCGCTGTGTGCTTTGATCAGCTTTTCCTCTTCACTCTGTTGACTCTGTTCCACCACCCCCTCCAAAGCACCTTTTAAATACGAACTCTCGTGCAAAGAGAGCGCAGATACAGCAACACGCAGCTAATACTGTCCAACAATTCAACCGCAACAGTAGCCCTTCACCTTGAGCTGTTTTCATTTTATTTTACGACTTTCCCTCCCCACACCCTTTCGTTCCTTTTCTGGAGTAAAAAACAATGCCATTGTGCTTTTAGATTTTAAGGTCTCAGAGAGGTTATTAATAATGCACGGAAGATGGTTGGCCTCTTTGGAAACCCTCTCAGCTTAGAATCTTTACCCTCCATTAAAAATGTCTGACATCATTTTCATCAGCCCACAGACTCTGACATCATTTTATCACCAAGAACTATTCAATACACTTATGTCAACACTAATGCCACTCTAACAGTTTTGTTTAATGGTTTTAATGACAACGTCTTATTGACTTATTTGTAGTCTTTTTTTATTATTTCAAAAGCCCGGTGTGGTTTAATATTGTTAAGGATTATGGTATTAAAATTGTCAATATTAATAATAAACGATCAATGAGTTACTGATAGTTATAGGTGGGCATAGATTATTTTTTTTAATTTAGATCAATCTCACTGAAATCTCAGAATTAATCTAGATTAAAATGGCATTCAGAATATGTGTGCTACCCAAATAATAAGTAATTGAGAATGGGCTTCTCAAGCCAGGTGGCGCATTAGACCAGGGGCTCATCTCCTGTTTCCAAAATGCATCACAAACTGCTTGAGAAACTGTTCTACTACGATAATCGGTGATGAAAATAAATTATTTTCAATAAGATGTACTTGTGTTTACTAACTGTTCATTCAGTTAAACATGAATTTTGAACTGTAGGCCTACATAAGCTCCAAACAGCAATTTTTGATCACCTTAATCCAACTAATTCATAACTGAACTAAACAGAAATGAAATTAAGACATGTGGAGTATGCAGATATTAGTGGAATTATTGAAGTAAACACCGCAATCAAACTATTATCGTCATGTAGGACTTTTCGCCATATTTTCCGACAAGATCCACAGCTGTCAGTAATGGACCGCACACACACACACAAAGGTTTTTTCTGTCCATTTGGCATGCGTTATTAAATTCCATAACACTCTCACCAGTCCTTATACTCCTTATTTGCGTCTAATACCCCAGTTTGTCACGGGGGCATGAATGAAATATTCATGAGTGAATGTAAAGCTGCCGTTAAAGTCACCCAAAATTACAGGAAACTCTTACATGAAAGCACTTCACATAAACACATCAATTATATTATTGTCTATTAAGGTAAATAACTAGACTACAGATGTCCATGTAAGCAAAGTCAGTAGTATCTTCGAAGTAAGTGAAAGATCCAGAAGGGCATCCTGCTGATTTGATTCAGAAGGGCACTTTTTTGTCTGACGGCTCACCTGTCAGGTATACATCTGCGCTAAAATATGAAGGTGAAAATTATCATAGTTTGCATAGAATAGACCCAACTCAACTTTGAGGATAGATATTTATTTTTTATCGCCCGATAAAGAGTCTCGTGTTAACGCCGATAACAACCCACCACTACTAATAATTTAATAGTTATAAGCTAAAGGAGACCCCAAACACTCATGATGTTCTTTCAACCTAAAACTATGACAGTCTTTTGGCTTCGTAATACTTTGGCTGAAGTAACATGCCACTCTAGGACAGGCTATGTGCCCAAATTTAATACTTAGGGTAAGGGATTTGTTCAAATACCTATTAAGCTCCTCTAATAACGCAATAAATGATATATTTATGACCGTTACATGAGGTAAACCTGCAGGGTTAAGCCCTTTTGTGTGCAGGTCTTTCTCTCCTCCTGCTTCTCTGCTGTTCTAGTGGCCCTAGTTAATCAACATTAGGTATTGTTGTGTAGAACAGCCCAGACAAGGCAGCTCTCTTTGTTTGCCTTAATGTTGGACTAGTGGAGGTTATATTTACTCATTCCTCTCAGCTCCCTGAAGCCCTGAGCTCTCACACTCACACACACACACGCACACACACACACACACACACAGAGAGGGAGCTTGCCCTTAACTAGAGCTGTTGACTTCATGCTAATAAGTTCATACAAATTTTCATTTCTGAGGCTTGGGAATGACATTTGCTTTTCTTAATTGCAGGCAGAGCGTTTGAAAGAGGATCAAGTCTCCAAAGACAGACACGACTCCTCATAGGGACTGACCTTCATCAGCGCAACCAATTATAGCAAATCATTCACCAAAAATTACAGTAAACAAATTTACTTTGTGTAGGTGAGCAGAAGGAAGGGTCTGCGTGCACGCGAGCGTGTGTGCGTCCGTGTGCGAGGCGAAAGCGGGCCCACGAGAGGGGCAGTCTGGCAGCTGTGGCCTGAGATCACCACGCATTGCCTCGGAATTCGCAATGCTCCCCCCCTTCGCCCCGCCATCCCAGAGAAAAGGGCTGCCAGACTCTCCCCTCTCCGCCGCGGAGCATTTGCATACATTCTGCGTGAATATAGAGAGGGAACATGTGTTGAATGGGAAGCATAAAGGAGTGAATTACACAGCCTGTGTTCGTCAGCTAATGATATACGTGCGAAATGCACTCAAGCGGATGATGGAAATTGGAGAAAGCAGACATGGTCTATGGCGGCCCGGAGAGGCCAAGTTCAACACTCCACTAGGAAGTGACGGGCAGGAACGTGTTTTAACAAGGGAGAACAATTTAGTTGGGGATGTGGCTATAGGGCTGTAATCTGACGAGCATGCTAACGTGTTACCTAAAATATGCAAATTTATGAATTCATAGCATAACTTGATGACCTAGTGCATTTGCAGAAAATATGCAGAACTTTTCTGTATGAACAAATAATAGCTTTCATAATAACACTTTAAATTATAATAACTATATTATTATTATTATTATTATTATTATTATTGTTGGTTGTATTATTATTTTTATTATTATTATTATTATTATTATTGGTTGTATTATTATTATTATTATTATTATTATTATTAATTATTATATAAAGGTATCATTTAATTAAAATAAAATAATATAGATGTATCCCAAATATTATTATTGCATTTAAAATATTACAAATATAAGTTCATTATTATTTAAAATGTTATTAATAAATATTTCAAGTTCTATCATATTATTTAATTTAAAAGTGATCATAAGATATTATTATTACTATCATTATTATTATTATTATTTTATTATATAAATGTATTGTTTAATTAAAATAATATAGCTGTATCACACAAATTATTATTAAATATAAATCATTGCAAAAAATAGGTTCATTATATCAAATATGCTATTCATAAAAAATTATGTTATATCATATTATTTATTATTTAAAATGATTTATTTATAAAATGATGATAAAATTTAAAATTTTATCGTTTTAAATATGGTATTAATACATATTTTATGTTCTATTATATTATTTAATATTTAAAGTGATTAAGATATATTATTATTAATATTATTACTAATGTTATTGGTATTCTTTTTGGTTGTAGTAGTAGTAGTATGATTATGATTATTATTATTATTATTATTATTATTATTATTATTATTATTATTATACAAATGTATTGTTTAAATATAATAAAGATGTATCACAATTATTATGACATTTAAAATATTACAAATATACAATTATTATCGTTTCAGATATGATAATAATAAATATTTTATGTTGTATAATATTTAATATTTAAAGTGATTAAAATGCAGCTTTATTGCTTATACCCATTTCTAAGATGATAAATATGGCGTACTATTTTTTACAGTGTTAATTGGTGCACATATTTCACTTTTTCTAATTTAATACAAATGTAGTGTGTGCATGCTAAAAAAATCAGTAAAGGTTGTAAAATAATTCTTGCACATACATGCATGGCTACATTTACTGAATATATTTATTGTAGCAGTTCTTTACGCTCAGTGAAATTGCTGGCTTTGTTTCCATGGGCTTCCTCTGGCTGAAGTGGATGGTCAACAAGCAAGACTGCGAGCGTGTGTGTGTGTGTGTTTTCCCGTGTGTATTGTTTACAGAACACCACGGCGTCTTGGTGTGAAGCTTTAATCAGACTTGAGTCGTCTTCCATGGCAACATGGCGGCCGGCGTGTTTGTCACCTTCTTCGCTGCACTCCCCAATATTGAGGCACTCTAACAGGTCCCATCCTGCCTGCTGCAACCTTCCTTTGTTCCAGCGCGTAAAATGTCTTGTAATTGTGCAGGGGATGTCCAGATGGCAGGCTGATCCCGGCGCTGATGGGATTAGAGCTCTTACCTCACGTCGGCCCATCTGTCCTCTCTAACTGGCTACGGCCTCACAGACGCCGACCGCTCGTCTTTATTGCATAAACCTAACAACATTACCGCCACTTGGTATGCAAATCAACCCAGAGCTGTAGGCCCAGACCGGAGGGGGTGCAGCGTACATGCGCCGCAAGAGAGACTTTCTCTTTCTTGCTCTAAATGTCTTCCTTCTCTTTTCTGTCTTGTGCATCCTACTATTCCAGAGCTTTCGCAGAATCAGTGCTTTCCAAATCTGGCAGCGCCTACATTTGGGAGGGGGTTCTCGATTGTGTATGTTGTGTCTGGCTATGTGCAGATGGGGCTGTTTGGACGGGAGTGTGTGCGCGCGCACGTTCGCGCCTGTGTGAATTCGTACATATGTTTCTGCATGGCGTATCTAAATGGCGCTAATGCTAAAGAAACCCTCCTATAGTGTGCGCTTGCCTCTTTCTCCTCCCCCAGGTTGGGTTCTCCAGCTGTAAATAATGAAAGGGGCTCATGTGCTCGGAGAGTGAGGGTCCGCTGGGCCATGCGAGAGGGAATTACTTTAAGTTGAAGATCAGAAGGCAGAGTAAATTCACTGTCCGGGAAAATTCGCCTGAATTAGATGATTAGATAAAAGTGTGAGAGGAAAGGAGAAACGGTAGGACCTCCCCGTGGCCGCTCTCTCAGCTTGCATTTATCACTTTCAAGAATGTGTTTCTAATCTAAACCACCCTCAAACCGCTAAGACTTGACCATAAATATGGACGAATTTATATTTTACGACTATATATCCTGTACACGTGCGCTAGAAACTCTCCTACACCAAAATGGAAAGAGATGACAGGTTGAACCTTCTCTCTACTTTCCCTCTCAGCCAAATGATAAGTCTTAAACGCTCTCCCGAGTTCACAGGAGTGATTAAACATCAAGTTCGGCAACTGTCAGACGCTCGGAAACTCTTTCTTTCTGTTTTAACGGCCCCCCGGTTGCCATTAAAGGGCCAGATATTAGATAGGTAGCTGTAATATTCACTACGGCCCAAATTCGCCATCAGGGGCGGGTGAAACAGCAGGTAACTAAGTGGTGAGAGCGTGTGCCGTTGGGTTTTTTAAGGAGGAGGTGTGCTTTTAAAACAGTCGGAAGTTTAAAAGAGTTGTCGGGAATATCGCCACCACTTGTTACAGAGCTGTCAGAATTCACCGTGAGGGCGAACGGATTCATTTAATGACTCGAATATCACACTAATAACAGAGTTTTTGATTGAAAGAATAAAAATCTCAAGTTACGAGCAATCCGAAGCATACGTTCTCAATTGGCTAACAATAAAATACGACTGCGGATGAACTATACTGTGGCTGTAAACATAGTAATGGAAGCTTAGAAAAAGATTTACAATAAAATAAAGAAGCTTTGAAGATAGATAGCCTTTGCAGTGTTTGGGTTGGGTCGTGTTTTTTCTCTCTCTTTCTCCCTCTCGGTCTCGTGGGACTCGTGCAGACGAGGGGAGAGGCCTCAACCTTCTTAATTGCTCTCCTAATTAAAGGCGGTTGCTAAGGAAAACACACCTACTATTAAGCGACTACAGCGGAGAGACAAACAATACGTCAGCATACCAAACACTCGGGCGCTCAGGGCACAAACGTTCAATTACGCTACTTCTGTACTGCATGTCGACAGCGTTAATGCGAGGAGCCGAGAAATAGAAAACAAATATTTTTGCTGGGGTTTTTTGTCTCACACGAGCAGGGATTTGATGCGATTTCTCTTGCATCATTAAATATTACTGGTGCTTGGGTGGATATGGTAATTACGGGCTGATTAAGACAAAGAAAATACTAATGTTATGTTTTTAAATGAGCAGAGATTATGTTCTGTTTTAATGCTTAGCCCAGAGATTTGAGGACTGAAGTAGAGCGATCAAAACCCAGCTCAGTTTAACAAAGCAGCAAAATCTGAATTTTACCATCCAGTGACTCGCTTTATACCTTCAGCAAGTGAAGAACTCACCACAAAAAAAGGTGTAGTGATAATTAAAATCAAGCACTGATTAGAGAAGTATGTTTTTATGCAGCGGATTTGGAGTATTCATGGTGAAACGTTTTGAACTGAGCGTTGGGTTGATAAAAAGTATATTCAAGATATATCAAGGTGCTTGGTGAATATTTAGCATGCACTGATTTCATATTAGCCACCATACATGATTTAAGATAAAATACATGGCCCAATATCATTCACACAAATAGCAAAAAATAAAAATGACTACAATAAAATCCAGCAGCAACATCATCAAATCTAAACTAAAAAGATCTGAAAGTGCTGATCAGTGAATAGAGAAAGCATGGATTTCTCTAAAAGATCAACTAGCCATGTTTTCTCTAAAGCTAGCATGTTTGGTGAATGAGCGGAAGGAGCCGATGTGGATGACTAAAAGAATGTGAAGTAAAAATGAGAAAAAGGGAAAAGGGAAAGGCAGGAAACAGAAGGAGAAAAGAGAGAAGCGCTGCAAATAATAGTGTTATGGGAAATGTGCCTACCATTCTCCAGATAAGGAGTGGCCGTACCTTCTGAGGGGTCAAGACGGCGGGCTCTTCTGCCGTGTTTTGAGTTGTTGTGGACAAACATGTTGTCCGACACGGCCAACACATGACCGTCCACATTGACTGTTGTCGATACAACGACCTGTGAAGAAAACATAACCATTATTTGCAGGCATGTTTACAATGGGAAGAAGTTGATTTACATTTATACTGTACATTTTTTTGGACTTAGTCTGAAAGTATCATTAAACATCAATTATTTTAAATTTTTAGACATTCTAAATAATACTGAAAATAATAAATATACATAAAAATATCTATCTATCTATCTATCTATCTATCTATCTATCTATCTATCTATCTATCTATGATCCATTCATCCATCCATCCATCCATCCATCCATCCATCCATCCATCTATCTATCTATCATTCCATCTATCTATCGTTTCATCCATCCATTAATCCATCAATCAATCCATCCATGCATACCTTCCTACCTACCTACCTATATTAGCATTGATGTACAATACTATTTGTACAATTTTCTTTACTTAAACTTAGCATTATAAAAGCCAGTGTTGGGCAAGCTACTTGAAAAATGTAGTGAGCTAAGCTATTAGCTACTCTACTTAAAATGTAGCTTAGCTTAGCACTTAAAGCTACTCTCTGGGAAATGCAGCAAGTTAAGCTAAAAGCTATATGGCAAAAGTAGCTTAGCTACATCTAAGCTATTTTTGTAAGTTTCGTTTTTAAATCAAAGCAAGTTAAAATCAAGTCAGTCATATCTTAGTGATCAATAAAACTGTCATAATTGTTCAGTTCAGTTATTTACTACAATTAATATGCTGAACTAAACAAAGTTTATAACAGCAAAAACAAAAAATCCAATAAAATCAGACATTACACATTTAAAATACTGTAGTAATTTATAGTAAATGATAATATTTAGGAAGAGCATTATATTGTGTATATATTTACAACTCTACATTAATGAATTAAACTACATAATGTAGTATCATTAGTAACTATCATGTAGGCATGGGACGATAACCGTTCTCAAGGTTTACCGCGGTTTGGAAAAGTCAAGGTTTTAAAACCACCAAAACTTTCTGTTATGACGTTCCTACGATATATGTAAGTTTACATGTTTTTTTTATTTTATTTTTTTTATTTACGTGTTTTTTACGTGTTTTTATTCACGTTTTTTACTACTATTTTATTTAGTTTTTTAGGGCAACATTATCTCCAGCTGAAAAGGACGCTTCATTCTCCCGAAATATTTCAAATAGTTTATTAATTTTGTTTCTTAAAGTAAAATATATTGTGTTCAGTCTGGAACAATTGTTTTTTTTTTTTTTTTTTTTCCCCGAGACATTTAAAAACAACATATTTTAGAGTAGTAATTACAATCCAGTGATAGCGTGAAACCGTGATATTTTTATTCAGGGTTATCATACCTTCAGAATCTTATACCGACCCATGCCTATACGAACTAATAGTAGTTGCTTTAGTATACTTTAGCCATTACTACAGTAAACTATATACTACTTCTAAACTATATACTTCTATGGTCACAAGTAATCCGTCTTCAGAAAATCAGATGTTACACATTTAAAATCCTATAGTAATTTATAGTAAATGGAAATATTAAGAATGAGCATTATATGGTATATATATTTACAACTCTTCATTAATGAATTACACTACAGAATGTAGTATCATTAGTATGTTAATATATTTTTTTATTATTTACGTGTTTTTACAACTATTATTTAGTTTTTTTAGTGCAGCATTATCTCCAGCTGAAAAGGACCTTTCACTCTTCCAAAATATTTCAAATAGCTTCTTAATGTAGTTTCCTAAAGTAAAATATATTGTGTTCAGTGGGGAAAAGTACTTCTCGAGGTATGGTTACAAGGAATCCTGCTTCATAAATACACTGGAAAAAGCATTGTACTAACATTATAGATACAGTAGATAGAACAATAGAAAGACAAACATAGCAATGGCAAAATAGATCCATTATTTTACATTAATATCATGTGCGTTTTTCTTGCCAAAAATATGAACACAGACCATACTTGGAGCAGACTTCATTCAGCTAAATGAATCATATGGCTTCCAAAAAATATCAGGCTCTTTTTTTATGACCAGAGGCCTTTTTGACTACTTAAAGGCCAGAGAAAGAAGAAGGACACTTCTGAGGGTTTCTGTAGGGTCTTTATCAGAAACTCAGACTGTTTTTTTCTTTTCTTTTTCTGCTGCCTCTTTGTTGTGGGTCTTATTTGTGAGAAAACGAACACAAAAAGCCTTTTTTTTGGCCTGTGGTGTCGACTCAACATGAGAGCAGGTCTCAGTACAGTTAGCGGATGAACCCGACGCGCCTCTGATCAGTAGGGTCCTTTGGACACGGACACACACGCGCCACACACACACACTGCGTTCCAGCCTTTTGTTTGTTTGACTTCTCTCCTCATACCAGCGAGGCTTTATTTTGAATGCTGACAAGCGTGCGACCACTCCACACCTTCGAAACAATAACCGCAAACACATTTGCCTCGCTAAGCGCTGGAGCTTGAACCTGTGCCCATTGTTTATTTTCCTAGCCAAGCAGGAGGGAGCGAAACAAGGGAAAAGTTGCTCGTTTTTGCAGTCTTACTGGGTTTGGTGGAACAACTCCCCATTGGCTTCACATTATTAAAACAATAAGTTATAGCACTATAATCCGAAAAGAGGAGTCTGTTTTCACACCTAAAGCAACGAAAGATGACTCGTGCAGTTCAATACGCTTCATGTAAGCTGGCACGCCGTCTGACTGCTAATAACCCAGCCTGAAACCCGAACGGGCTACTGTTACAGCTCAAATCTGGTAGAAAAGTTGCGATATAAATAATCTACAGTGACCGAGAGAGCTTAACGATCTGCAATTTAAGAAAACACATGCAATTACAAACAACGCTAGCAAATTAAGACAAGATCAGTTTGACAGCATACATGTAATGATTTTAAACCACACTGAACTGAGCTAAACTGAACTGAACTTAAACACTAAAAACTGAACTATGCTGTTCCAATTACTATGATCATTTATGTGAAGCTGCTTTGACACAAGCTACATTGTAAAAGCGCTATACAAATAAAGCTGAATTGAATTGAATGTTGCAAATCCTCACAACAGAAATGCATTGAAAAACGTGCTGCATTTTCTCACAACGCAAACAAATAATGAAAGCACTGCATTTTTCATAACGCAAACAAATTAAGAAAACGCCTGCATTTTCTCACAACACATGACAATAGCACAGAACACAACGCAAATGTTGAAAGGGGGACCCTAAAACGTGACAGACACGGCTATTTAGGGTAAGATTATTTAGGCTAATAAAATGCTAAATACAAGAGAATCATGTAATTAAGATTTATTTATTTATTTATTTTTTAAACTCACTTTTCAAAGATCACCTACAACTTTACTGAGCTATACACTTATTTCATCTGGCCGCCATTATGAAAACAAAAGCAAGGCTGTGGTGGGAAGAAACCCGGTATTAGAGGACCAGCACTGTAAACATTACTGCAAGCAAACTACAAACCTCCAGCTGTTGCCGCAATTTCAAAGTACAGATGCGGTGTAAACACCACTCTAATGTAATTCAATTAAGTTTAGTTTTAACAACTAAATGCGTAATAATTTTTAAAATTTGGTGGCAAAATTCAGTATTATGGCAAGTCTAATATAGAGAAAGAATCAATTTGTTAACTTGAGTTTGATCAATGGCATATTAACGTGTGTTCGGGAAAGATAAAGTTAGCTAACTAGTGCAATTCCTTTAACCTAGCTAAAAATGAGGTCCGATATTGCTTTTTATTTTCACTCTCAATTCAGAACGGACATTCGGGTCACTCGGAAAGCAGTGAAATGATAAATTTGGGTCACTTTCTCTTCGCTCATGAGATATACAGCCAACAATACGCCATTATGGATGCCGTTCATGTGTGGCTTCAGGCGATACTTCAGAGTTTCTTCCCACCGCAGCCTCACTTTCGCTTTTAAAATGGTGGCCGCGTGAAATCAGTCTATACTTATGGCACAATAAACAATCCCAGCTTGGTTCATCAAATTTTATTGGTCCCCTTGAAACATTTCAGTTGTGCTCATTGCTTTTTGCGCTTAATTTTTAAAATTCTTACGTGCTTTTTTTATGTTTGCGTTGAATCTTAAATTGTGTTGTCTTAAATTACAGCATGTTAAACTCTCTCAGCCACTGTAATAATCTGACTAACAGACACACATTCATGTTCCCAATTGGGTCCAAAATTGGTTTATGCTTCTCTGAAATTGAATGAAACTAATTCCTGGTGTCAAATGTGAAATCATGTTCACTTAATGAGGGTGAACAAAATGGTTAACGTTGTCTTATTCTGGTCCTCGGCCACAATAAGGTCGTATATTTATTTCCCCTCCAAACGAACTGCAGTGCAGGAATCGACTCTATATAAAGCACATTTAATTTCTCGTTTGAAGAATATAATTAACCTTTGTAAGAGGGAGAGCTTCTTTTTTTCCTATTTAAAGGAGACACTTGGGCGGTTACAAGAGTGCGCGTGTTAGATAAAGGACGAGAGGCTTGTCTGGGAAGAACTAGCCAAGCCCTTGTCAATCAAAGGCCTCCATTTTGAAGCGCCCTGGCTTTTTTTTTTAACAAAAGGCTACAATTAGTGTTTAATCTGCCACTTAAGGTGAACAGAAAGAAGCAGAGAGTCTCTCATCTGCTCCATCATCCATTAGCAGCCACTCAAACACAGCAGCCTCCGGCCCACAGATCGCTAGCTCACCCCATTACATTGATCTATAGATTTATTGATTAGCTGTTTTATCTTATTAGTCACAGCTTGAGCTAAAGCTGTGATGGAGAAGGGTGGCAGACCCTCAAAAGAAGAAAAAAAAAGATAATTTGAGAAGAGCCCCCTCTTTGGTAGCAGATGAGGGGGTTTCTTTTGTTTTTGTTGATCTGTTTACATACAGTTGCATTGAGAGATTGAGAGTCGTTTAGCATCTGAATGAGGGTCTGGATGGAGGGGTGGGCTGTGGTGCCGTGGGGGGTCTGGGGTGGAAATGGAGCAGTTTTAATCTGGGATATTCCCTCTGTCATGTTCATAGTCAAGAGTCACAATGAGGATGATGCTTGAGGCCTTTTCACAACAAATACTATGCAGATAAATGAGCACAATGTAATGCAATGCTGAATTGATTTTAATGCATCTTTAATCTCAGATCAAATGTTTGGATGCTCAAATGAATTATTCAACATTGGGACGGTTTTAAAACTGAAAAACATACTGACAATATTATAGAAAAGTAATCATTAGAAGTAATAGAATTGGTTGATAGTGAAATAAATTTTGTGATTAAAAATATAAAAATAAAAGGAAATAAACTGTACCAAAATATATGGATACTGTTGTTGGAATGATTATTAATCAGTAAAAAATTTAGAAGACTTTATTAAGACTAAGAATTAATTATTAGAATTAATAATTACATTTTATTTAGTTTATTTTGAACAATTAATAAAATAATAATGGTTAAAAATACATTTAATAATAAAAATAGTCATAATTATTATTTTAAATAAATATTAAAATAATACAAATTGAAATGCTAATCAATATAAACAAGGTTATTTTTAATTATGTTAGTTATGTTTACTTATTCATCATCAAAACAATGAAAAAAAAAACCTGAAGAAAAATAAAACTATGTAAACTAAATGTTATATTAATCACACATACTGTTCGTTAATTTATTGTTCAGTCAAGTTTTTTAATAATACATGAATAATGGTAAATATAGATTTAATTATAAAAATAATGACCTTTTAATAAAACAGGAAAACAAAATATAAACTATAAATGTAATATAGATTAAGTTTATTAAAATAAACAAAACTGAACTAAAATTGATTACTTAATATCTGACAAATTAGGTCTATATTTTGCATTAAAAGTAAATGTGTGTAATTGTCTAAATCAGACATCGTAAAATGGGGTTGTTATTTTTTCATTATGTTAGTTATACATATTTACTTATTCATCATTAAAACAAGTAACATATACATGAAAACAATAATGTTAAAATAAAATCTACAGCTTAAATAATTCTTTAAAAAAAATCATAGAAAAGTATATTGAGTATAAAATTTGAGAAAAAAAATCATACATACTGTTCGTTAATTTATTATACTAAATTTATTTTATATATAATTTATATGTATTTATTATATTGTTTTTAATAATACAGAACATAATAATTATAACATTTTGATTTCATTAATTTTAATAATACAGAAAATAATAATGTTAAAAAGAAATCTGAATATAAACAAAACTGAAGCAAAAATTGATTGCTTAATAGCTGTCAAATTAGGTTCAGATGCCCTTTTTACCTTCAAAATAAATGTGGGTAATTGTGTAAATCAGACATGGTTAGATGAAGTTATTTTAATTATGTTAGTTATGTTTACTTATTCATCATCAAAACAATGAAATATTAAACAACAATGATATTAAAAGAACTAATAATCTTAAAATAAAATCCTGTTTTTTAAAGTGATTATAAAACAACAGAAAAAATTATCACACATTGCTAATTTATTATATATTTATTATCATATTATTTTTAATAATCCAGAACATAATAATGATCAAATTTAAATTCAATTATTAAAAAATAATAATAATAAAAAGAAAAAGAAACTGAATATAAACAAAACTGAACTAAAACTGATTGCTTGATAGCCAACAAATTGGGTTCAGATGGCATTTCTTGCATTTAAAATATAAATGTGGATATTGTGGCTGTCAGACATGGTGTGTCTATAGGCCAATAGCTAATACTCTGCTTCTGGAAAAATAGAGAAATATGAGAAGGAAAAAAATCGAGAGAAAACAGAATGGCAAATGGGGGAAGACAGAGACCCTAAAAGCACGACCTTGCCATGAGATCATGGAGAAAGGAACATGAGTGAAATTTATTCTGGAGGTGGCATTTAGCTTAGCAGAGCAGAGTTTAAGGGTTAGCGCTGGAGGAGAGGTGTCTTGTTAATGGACTGACAGGCATCACGGCTTTGGGTCATTTGTCTCACAGACTGCTTTTGGGTTGGAATTGTCTGCGATTATGGTTTGTGGGGGGGGGGAAAAACCCTGTGCTATCATAAGCTCCCCATGTTGATATTATTTTGAATAAAAATTGCAGAATGTGGAACGTGGAAAAAGTGGATGTTTCCTTAAAGTCCACTTGAGCCGGAAGCGGTGACTCTTTTTTTACATTGTAATGCAGTTCCTAGAGAAATTGGATATTTAATGAGAATTGAATTTGGTGGGCGTGGCTTGTTCTTCTACTTGTTCTTCTACTACTTCTACTGCGATCTGATTGGATGTTGTAAAGTAGGCATTTCATTCAGAAAGATCTGGAAATGGGTTTTAGAAGAGTTTTTACAACCTAACAGACTCCTCCTCCTCCCTATTTCTGTATGTTGTCAAAACTGACAGGTGGAGGGGGTGTGGTTAAGTATGTTAGCCGCGCCCAATACCTCAGACTGACGAAATATGAGAATTGAACTCAAAACAAACAGAGATCACCGTGGGCAAAACTAGCAAAGCAAGCTAACAAAACCATAAGGCTAGTTTTGATTTCATGTGTACTTTAAAGGACGTTTGAGGAGATTAAAACATAGAGAGATTGATTGAACAGTAACAAGTGCTCTTTGAGGATAGAGTGGCATTAGAATGGCTCTCCACACACACACACACACCTCCACCAGGTGCTGAGGCAGAGGAAGTGTAAATAGGTTGAAAACCCCAGACATGCTGTTACAGCGAGAGAAAGAGAGGTCCAGTGACTTTATTGTGGGGAGGCACAATCCGCGGTGACGGATGTTTCTTTTACTAGGCGTGCAGACAGAAAGGACACTTCCTCTCACGCCGGCTCTGACCTTCTGCTCTGGACGCATGGATCAATATCAGTGAAGACACTTTGACGTTCCAAAGCATGAAAAATGAAAGTTGTGCAAGCGCTGGCTGCACCACTGCTGCCTTGCACAACAATACATCTATATAACCGCTAGTATATAAACACACATCCTCGCAAGCACTGGGTTAAGCGGAGCTGTCACACACACACACACACACATAATGAAATCCAGAGCTTTTTCCAGAGCAGCTTTTCTGTGCATTGTAACTGATAATGTGTTTTGTGATTGGATGATAATTACAATATATTGAAGTGTTTGAATAAGTAGTATGTATGGATGGATGGATGGATGGATGGATGGATGGATGGATGGATGGATGGATAGATAGATAGATGGATCGAAAGAACGGACAATAGGATAGATAGATAGATAGATAGATAGATAGATAGATAGATAGATAGATAGATAGATAGATAGATAGATAGATAGATAGATAGATAGATAGATAGATAGATAGATAGATAGATAGATAGATAGATAGATAGATAGATAGAATGAAAGAAAGGACAATAGTATTGCACATTAGATAGATACATAGATAGATAGATAGACAGACAGACAGACAGACAGACAGACAGACAGACAGACAGACAGACAGATGGTGGGTGGATGGATGGATGGATGGATGGAATGAAAGAAACAACAATAGTATAGCACATTAGATAGATAGATAGATAGATAGATAGATAGATAGATAGATAGATAGATAGATAGATAGATAGATAGATAGATAGATAGATAGATAGATAGATAGATAGATAGATAGATAGATAGATAGATAGATAGATAGATAGATAGATGGATGGATGGATGGATGGAATAAAAGAAAGGACAATAGTATAGCAGGATGGATGGATGGAAAGGACAATAGAATAGCATGATAGATGGATGGATGGGCAGATGGATGGAAAGGTCAATAGAATAATTCATTGATTGATGAATGGAACAATTATAGAAAGAGAATAATAGAACAATATATAGAACAACAGAAAGAACGATAGATTGAATAATCGATGAATGAAACAATAGAAATAACAAATCATAAAAATATTTGTAAATTAATTATCATTTTTTTTATTCATTTTTATCATCTCTAGTCTATATTTTGTTTTCCATCTTTTATTGTAGTTTTTCTTTTGAACTGCATTATGGGATCTTGATTTTTCTCTCCAACAGTTTTGATATTGAACAGTTTGAAAAGTGACGTATTTTTAAAAATTACCTTTTTAATAATTTAAAGTGATATACACTGCCTGGTTTGGGGTTGTAAACTATGATACAAAAACCGTGTATTACCTGCCAGTATCTTTTCTCTCATTTTACAGACATGTCTATATAATTGCCTATATAGTCTTTCCTCTACATTATCAAAAGTCACTTTGTTAAACTGCACAGTTCAATTTTCAACATAAAAATTCGACAGAGCAGAGATCAAGGTTCCATAATGCAATTCATAACCAAAAAACTGAATCACAAAAAAAAGAAAATGATTGTTTTTAAAAAGTAGATGGACTCTGAGGGTTTATGTTTGTGTGTATAACATTTGAAATGTGCTTGAGCAGAACTGCAGAATCGAAGCATCTCTGGAGCAGTTTTGGCCTTCGACCGGGTTCAGGCAGCTCCTTTAAAAATATCCACAAAGTAATACACCATTCCGCTAGCCCAGCGAATGGCCTGTTTTTCACATCAGAACATGTGTATGTGTGTGTGCGGAAAGCAAAAGAAAACATTACCTGGAATCTGCGCATGTCCCGTGGGTTTCCTGCATTCTTCAGGCAGTTCTGATTACACTTAAGGAAGAATTTCAAAAAGAATCTGCAAGAGAAGACAAAGAGGGAGAGAAAACTCCATGTTAGACAATCAATCCAAGCCCCCCCAAAACAATCAATTGCACAAAATACAACCTAGCAGATCCGAGTCCAGGGCGTCCACACACAACACCAATGACACAAAAGCGCGATCAAACCGACAGCTGTATTCACCTTGTTTCTAGATAATTCCCCTCAGAGTAATGATCATTAGTGTTTTGTTCCTCACCCTCCCACGACCTCCCTGTCTCTCTGTTTATCTGTTTTTCAGTCTGTCCGTGCGGCTGACGCATCCAAATCCCACAGTTCCCCACAGAACCCATCTGCCCGTCACTGACAGGAAGTCAGTTAATATTCCGCCCCCCTCTTTCCTCCCCTGTTCTACCCTGTAATTAAGGCTTAACGTGCTCAATGGGGAGGTAAAGCAGCACACCTGAGCCCTGCTCATCACAGACGAGGACCGGCGGACGGGGTAGAGGAGACCTAACGAGGTGAGAGCGGCCCGCAAACTTACAGCCCTGTTAGACAATTAGACACACCCCGCCACCGGGACAACAGCACCCGGTAATTATTGCGCAAATTACTAACTGCATAATCTGTTCGGCAAATGTCATGTGTGCGTGAGAGTCAAAAAAGGTCCCACTGGACGCCATGCCGCATATGCACACCTCGAGAACTAAAACCTGGTGTTTTTAAGAGGGAAAGAGACCCTTCGAGAGTCCTTCAGAACAAGGAAGAAGGATAAGAGGGCTTATCGGAAGAGGAAGACGAAGGCTTGTACAGCTGCTGCCATACTCCTCATATCACAGGAAGTGGTTCATTTTTAGAGATAGACCAATTGCAGAGGGAAAAAAAGATATATACGGCAGACATCGGGATGAAAGTCGGCTGATGGTGTTTCTGATTTACTTACAAAGCAATTCGTTTCTTACTAGAGGTAGAGCAGATATTCCAGTCGAATGTGCGTATACATTTCAATACATCACAGAGCAACAGTTGGCTTCTAGGTAAGGAAATATACTTGATAAACCATTAAAACTTACTAATATAACTTACTAATAATCTTTTTTTGTTTGCCCCCGAGTCTGAGTCATTTGATTTTGTGTGTTTACCGAGACCAAAACCCAATCCAATACTTCGATAGAACAAAGAAGAGCGAGGAAACATCCAGGATGTTCACCTTATTTAAACACTCAACAACTCTGTTTGTTTGTTTTGTTCAATGTAGCCCTTTCCTTTCCACGTCTTAAAATCCCAAGTTTACATCTCACAGTTTGCTATGGAAATGTTGTCATCATCAACTTTATAATACCTCCAGACCGCAGAATTATTGTGGTCATTGGTTGCCCTTAAAATCATATTTGTGTTCATATTTATTTGTATAATTTTTGGTTCAGTAATTTGCCTGTCACTTACATTAGTGGGGAATATTTTGCATTGTTTACATGCTTATTTATTTGTATATAATTTATTCAAATATATTTTTATTATTTTATTATTTTTTATTATTATTATTTATAAAAAATAATTTTATTTTATTTAATTATTTTTTTATTACAAGTACAAGTATATTTCCAAATGCACCGACATTTTGCCATTGTTTTAATTGAATATATTACTATTTTTTATTTATTCTCAAATATTATACTGAAATATATATTTCAAGATTTATACTTAATTTATATTCAAGTATTATCATTGAAGATTGATCACATTTCTACTCATGTCTTGCCTAGTGTAATTCTTGTTTTTGTCCAATTTTCATACGTGTCATTGCTTTAGTGAGTTTGTGCTTCACTTTTTAAAATCCTTATATTAGTAATAAATAGGAAAAATACTTTTGGAACCAGCTCTGGTGAAAAAGTGAACAGACACTAATGCACATTTCCATTTGAACAGCAGTTTTGGAAATGTTTCTCTGACTTATTGACAACCAGCAATCTGGTCACCAACTGAGTTAACTGATCCAAAAAGAAGGACTGTAGTTTTTCCATATCTACAGTATGCAGCAGGTGGGAAATTGGTCGTTGTATATGTATGTACATGTCCACCAATATTTACCTCAACCCTTGAGAGGCTGGACATACAGCGTAAAGGTCTCGCTTTCATGTCATGCATTGCAGATTGTATTCAGTGTTGAGTTAACACATGTATTTCACTAGGTAAACACTGTGTGTATGCAGGATGAGGTCTCTCATTCGGACCCTCCGATGGGACCACGAGTCGAGCAATATATCACTGTGTGAAATGACATCTGCAACCCTGAGCACCCCTCCACTTCCAATTCTCATTTATATACAGTCACCCTTTCCTCCTGACAGAGAGGGAATGTTTAGGATTGAGACAGATTGAGGAAAAGTAGGAGAAAAGCGAGGCAAGGGCCCCGGAGGTGGCCTTGGTAGTTTCTGAAAATTTTTAGTGACCAGCGTCAATAAAAAGCGAATTTCAGCATCGCTGGGGTGGACGTAAAGAAAGATGGCAGTCATAACAGCCAAAAACACGTCCGCCGTCATTAGAGCATTAGCTTTAATTGTGTACAGTGTGTGTGTATGGTAGTTGTTGGACAGGCCATTATCAGAATGAGTATTACGAGCTGTAATTCGCGGCCCCTGTCTTTATTTCCCAATAGAGCTGTAATGTTTCACAGCAGGTATCAGAGTAAATCAAGCCTGAAATATAGCCTTTATTTACCTCTCTCACCCGCTATCTCTCTCTCCCTCACTTGTTTTGTACTCTATAGCCGCAAACAAATGGCTTCACACACATGTACACAGGTGGACACACTTGTGTTAACTCAAAGATTATTGCGGAGCACACATTCAGAGGTTCGAAAGTGAGATGGACCGCATCAATTTCAGAAGATACAGCAAACACACTAGAAAACTATGACCTGGAAAACATTTCAAGTGCACTCACAATGTAGAGCTGTAATTAAAAACATAAAATACAGTATATTAATATAAGAAGTATCATAATGCAAGAGAATTTACACACAAATAACTAAACTAATAGGGCGGCATGATGGCTCAGTGGTTAGCACTCACAGCAAGAAGGTTGCTGGTTCGAGTCATGGCTGGGCCAGTTGACATTCCTGTGTTTAGTTCAGTCCGAAGACATACAATATAGGTGAATTGAATAAACTAGTGTATATGTGTGTGTGATTGAGTGTGTATGGATGTTTCCCAATACTGGATTTCAGCTGGAAGGGCATCCGCTGTGTAAAACATATGCTGGAATAATTGGCGGTTCATTCCTCAGTGGCAACCTCTTAGGGCTGGCCGATTTGGCCTAAAATCAAAATCTCGATTAATTAAGCATTTTAACTCGATTACAATTAATGAACGATTATTTTATATATTTATTTTTTAGCCCTCTTAGTTCTCTGACAAGTTTTACACAGTAAATATGCTCACATATTACAAGTGAGAGATTTCGGAATGATTTTTGGAAACACACTAAATACTATCTATGATTATTTATTGAACATCAATGTTGAACACCTGAAATTAAAACACACATTGCCTAAAATGCAGCTCTCTGCCCCACCCACCCTTGTCACCGCCTCCAAACCATCCAATCACAAAGCTTACACTACGTGTGATTGTGACGTGTGGTTACATTTTTTGAGAGGTGTGCGGGTATGCGAAGGCTGCGTCGGACCATGCGCGTGCGCTTGGCGGAAGTATGATATCAGAATAATATGACAAGTATAAACCTGGGGTCACCAACCCTGTTCCTGGAGAGCTTCCTTCCTGCAGATTTCAGTTGCAACCCTGGCCAAACACACCTGTTTGTAATTATCAAGTGCTGCTTTAGGTATACTATTAATTGGTTCAGGTGTGTTTGATCAGGGTTGGGACTGAATTCTGCAGGAAGGTAGCTCTCCAGGAACAGGGTTGGTGACCCCTGGTATAAACCATGAAATAATAAGTTTAAACTGAGAGGTGTGCAAGTATGCGAAGGCTGTGTCGGACCGTATGTTAATGCTTGGCAGAAGTATAATATCAGGAAAATATAATAGGTATAAACCATAGTATAATAAGTTTAAATTGAGAGGTGCCCGAGTATGCGAAGACTGCGTCGGACCATACATTAACGCTTGGAATAAGTATAATATCAGAATAATATAATAAGTATAAACCATAATAAGTATAAATTAGCCTTTACACAGTAGAGAAAGTAATTAAAAACTGACCTGAAAAAATTAGATCGATTATAGGTTCTGAATGTTGATTTCGATCACTTGTCAATTAATCGCCCAGTCCTACGACCTCTGAAATAGAGACTAAGCCGAAGGAAAATTAATGAACTTAACCAATTTTTGTGAGTTTTATCTGCTTTATATAAAGCGATTCGCTTTTAGCAAAAAAAAAAAAAAAAAAAACTTATAGGACTCTGGAATTTTTTTCTTTGAACAAAAACAGGCAAATATGCTCTATATATGTTGTTCTGTGGTGCTCATGTTCAAGTTTGAATCCAGCATACAAGCAAATGACAAAAAAAATTATATATAAACTAGTAATATAGTAAACTATAGTAACTAGTATAACTATATATATATATATATATATATATATATATATATATATATATATATATATATATATATATATATATATATATATATATATATATATAAAAATATATATAAAAAAATATATATAAAAAAAAAAAAATATATATATATATATATATATATATATATATATATATATATATATATATATATATATATATAGGCATGGGACGATTTTCAAGGTACACTGTGTTTTGGAAAAGTCAAGGTTTTAAATCCGCCCAAATTTTTTGCTATACTGTTCCTAAGATATGTTTACGATTTTTTAATTACTTTTTTAATTTTTTTATTTATTTTTTTTTTTAGGACAACATTATCTCCAGCAGAAAAGATCTCCAAAGATGCCGTTGTAAATTAAATTTATGAAATTAATGAACACAATTCATTTTAATTATTTAGCCTGACATGTTTACTCCTCCAAAGTATTTTAA